GCAGCAGCAGCTGCAGCTGTAGTGGTGTCATCGATATCCGATATTGTTGTCGTCGTAGTCTCAGTCGCAGTCGCAGTCTTCTTCGTGATGGCAATGGCCGTATCTATTGCTGTAGTGATGGTCGTAGTCGCAATTATAGCAGCAGCAGTAGTAGCAGCAGCAGCGAGGTGCGGCAGCGGTCGCGGTAGCGGTGGCAGTGGGAGTAGGAGTAGGACTAGGGATAGGAGTAGTCGTCGTCGTCGTCGTCGTCCTGCCGCTCCCACCACCAGCACTACTACAGTCGCGGTGCTGGTACCTCTTCCACCCTTTAGAGACCGACAAGGCCTCGGCACGGAAGCCGATGGAGTCCTGAAACCGACAAAGCAGACCTCACAGACTTGTTGGGCTTCGGCGTATCTGGTGTTGGGCTTCTGGGCTTTTGGAAGTCGCGGACCGTAGGCTTGAGCTTCCAGCATTGACGTTCGGGAATGCTGCACAGGGTGGGGCATTGAGACTTCAAATGTATACCCGTATCAGCATGGCCATCAAGGTTGTCAGGGTCATCCTCTCGGTACGACATCGGTACGGCTCATCACGATCAGCACGTCATCATCTGCAGAAAAAACGATCGTCATCAGCATCAGCACCACCATCATCTGGAACCAGCACCACCACCCCAACCGCCGCCGTCGCCGCCACCCGACATTTGTCTTCATCATCATCGGTTATCCTCGAGCTTCTCCGACTGACCACACATATCATCTTCTTTTCCATCAACGTCAGTGTCGCTGCCATCATCCACATCACCATCAGCAGCAACAAAAGCGACAACACTACGCACCTTCGCCATCATGTTCACAACCATCATCAATGTGCAGCTGTCTCAGCTCACTGCAGAAGCCTGAACCGTGTTGCGGTGAGGGAACGAAGCTCAAAACTGCAATTTTAGCTAGGAATCTGGCGGCAGACATCGGCCTGGGGGCATCCCTGCACAGTTGTGACACTTCTGCCGGCAGAACTTGCTGAGCATGCCCCTTGAGCTGTGTAACCCAACAACATGAACACGTACCTTGCCTTCACTGCATGCGAACATGTTGCAGTAAACTGGATACTGATGACAATCAGCACTCGCTGCCGATGCCTGCACACCCATAGCTGCCACCTTGACCACTTTGTCGTAGAGAAACCTGGAGTTTCGCTTTGTACAACATCGGCTCAAGCTGAAACAGCAGCACCCTAAACCCTAAACCCTGATTCGCATCTAAGGGTTTGGTTCATTACCGGGGCCCTTGTAAGGAAAATGGGCAGGGCCCTGTACCCTGATCTGTCGATTCTTTAGTAGGGATCTCGACAAGGAAAACCATGGAGGAGAAGGAGCATCCTGAGTACAAGGACCCCTAGACACCGTCTCTGTTCCATGCACTCAAACCCCAATATCTGATTCATGGCTGCTTGCGGAGAGACCAGAACGTGCGACTCCTCTCCGGGTTGGATGTCAGAAGCGCATCTTGCTGGCGAGTGAAGTCGATGGGCTCCTGCACGGGCTTGACTTAGACAAACAATCTGGCTTCTGACCATGTCCTTCTTCAGATAAGGGTTGCCCAAGCCAACACTCGTCATTGTGTTGCGGCGCCTTGATTGCATGGAACCAGCGATGTGAAGCTCGAAGTCAACTGCCGGAATTTGCTTTGATTCCGACTGTCTGCTACACATGGAAACAGCCCGGCGCCCGGCTTGCCAACCACGAAGCCTCAGCACTCAGTGATCAAGGCCAAAAACTGCACAACCGCTACAGCCCCTGATGCTGTGCGCAAGAAATGCGACACAGAGAAACAGCAAAAGCGGCTACATATAAAGCTGGAGATACAGCAAAGGCGCGGAGAGTGGGGACATCCGTGCCACGTGTGGGCAGAACGTCGGTGCTGCTGAAGCTGATGTGGAAGGAACACCTTCGAGTGGCAGACATCGCTCTTGACAACTGAACCCACGGACAGGATAAAAGCTTGACAGTCCTGACTGAAGCAACGCTGCCCAACTTGTTCTCACGAGCAGAAGAAGATGTCCCATACTGAGCATGCGGCGTAGCATTGGTCTGGACAACGACCATGCCCCGACCTAACCAGCACACTTCAGAATTCCTCTTACTCAGTATGACCTCAAGAAACTCTTAACAGCAACAAGCCCGTCAAACATCCTGGCCTGTACAAGGTTGGTTGCCATCCTCTGCTGGCAGCGCCTGCGATTTGTCCAGGCAGTGGCTAAGAGGGACTATTGCGAAAAGGCTCGGATCCAATGTTACGGCCTAGCCTCTTGTCTAAACACAGCATCCATCAGCCTAAGCACTACAGTAGCTTCTACCCCAAAGCAATCCAAACGCTTGTGAACAAGCAAGCTCTCTATGCCAGGCGCAGTGACAATTTTGCAAATCTGTCCAGAGAACCCTCCGATTGTGTCCGCGATTGGTCCACGACTGCTTGCCCGGAAGGTCGACCTTGTCCCGGCTCGGGTGGTGCTGCGTCAAGCATCCCGGTATATAGGGCCGACGTGCGCTTGATTTATGGAAACGATCATGTTAAGCGGTCAGCGGAATCCCTAGACCCTGAACCCCTAACCCCTATAAACCCTCAAACCTAAACACCAAAATCCCAAAACAATAAAACGCCAGGCCCGAAGATTCAAAACAATGAATCCCAAACCCTAAACTCCCTAAATCCCAAAATACAGCCTCAATAAAACCCTAAGTCCAAAAATATCCCCCAAACCTAAAACCGCTAGATCCAAAAATACAACCTCAGCGGAACCGCAGCAGCCTCCAAGTCGGCCAGCAATTGCTCCGAATGACCTCCTGGCCTCGGAGAATCGACTTCTGGCGCGGCTTTAGGTTTAGGATCTAGGGCCTAGAAAGGGTTGTTGTAGAGTTTGGGGATTGGGGCCAGTTTAGGGTTTTCGGGACTGGGATCTAGGCCATCCTGGTCAGTACGATGGGAGTTCGAAAAGCGAGTAACAAGTATTACCCAGTACATGTTTCTTTCGTCCGGCACGAGTGGCGCTTCATCAAAAAAACAGCGGGCGGCGGTGTGGACTAGCCGTCGCATCATGACAGCATTGAGCCCGGGGCAGGTTTATCCAGTTCCAATCGGAGCTCATGGCGCCATATGCACGGCAGCACTACAGTCTATGCTGGAGGGCGTGTGTTATTCTTCTGTGCGTCCGTGCGTGCGTTGCAGACAATTCTGCTACCTGCTGCCTCGGCTCCTGCCTTGTCGCTATCGGTGCAGCTACGCTGCCACTGCTGCTGCTTCTGCTAATTCTGCTGATGTAGCTTCAATTTTCACCAGGCTCTGCTTACAACGAACTGCTGATGATGATGATCGTTGTTGGTGCCGTTTGGTTATAGTCGTCTTACTGCTTTTACTGCGTGCGTTGCTGTCCTTGCAAACATCTTGGGCCTGCAGGAAGCTGGCTCCAAGTTATCTCACTGACACGAGCAAGTGGCGAAGTCACCTACGTCCTACGTGTCCATCGAGCACTCGATAATGTATAATGCACGGATCCAACTGTACAACTTCATGTCTACTGCTGCTGTATTTAACCGCCTTTAGATTGAAACCCAGATGAAGGAATCCAGTGGTATATGATAGGCGACAAGTAGCGGAACACAATGGGGCCAATGGGGAACGTCACGAGGTCGGACCGCACACTGAAACATATCGAGACGCCTCCAAGAAACGGAACGTGTGTTTTTGAACAAGAAAGCATACTGCAGGCATCAAGCGAAAAGCAACAAAATGAATCGAATGCGCGTCATTCGACCACTCTGCATATATGTAAGCACATGCATACGCACTAAGATGAAGACGCAAATGCTGGCATGTACCTTCCTCCTCATGTGCAAACAAATCCTAGCAGAAATCGCTGATCCTTCTCCTGGATGATCCTCCGAATGGCAGACGGACTTGTTCACAAATGGCACAACGGAGCCAACAGGCAGGTGGTTGGGAGGTGACTAACGATGATCGTGGCGCTCATCTTTGTCATCCCCAGTAGCATCAATAACATCTCCAGTGTCAGTCATCAAGATGAACTGCAAGCTGTGCCCATCAGGCTCGTTACGGTCATTATCATCACACCATCATCACGACTCCAATCAGAACCATGCAAATATCTTCGGGCCTTGTTTCACAATGCTCAAAGGTGCATGACACTTGACCTGGATTGGCTGCAAATACTGCAAGCACTCCATTAGATTGGATGTCGAACCCTATTGTCATGCTTCATGAGAATGGTACCGCCCCAGCGAACCCAGGCAGCAAAGAAATGAGCTCAAGTGTTTTGCTTGGCCACCTGAAAGAGTCCAAACGGAACAGAACCGCTGGATGTGCATAACCACACGAATTCTGACGGCAGCCTTCCTGCTAGAAAGACCTGTACTTTGTGAGCCACTTGTCGGCTTGCACAGGTATCAACAGCGGATAGGCATCAGAAACAGCTGACTCGCCTCATGCGAACAAGTCGGTAGCTGAGACTGATGGAAAAGTCATCTGACGACAGCGGAGTAAAACGGAGCTTTCCAAGCGTACTCTTTTCCTATGGCTGCAAAACGGTAGCTAAAGGTCTCAAGGGGCCCCTGGTGAGCCAAAAGCGAACCACCGAGGTGAGCAAAGGTCAAGCCAGTCTGTACGAGGGAGCCATTACACAGCTCCCAAAAGTTCTTTTGACCTTTCTCACCTGGGCTTTACCGTTCCGGTTTGCCGACGGTGCAGGCGGTCCTCTAGCAGGCTGTCTTCTTGCTCCAGCTTGAAAGTGCCGCTCTGAATCATCTGCAGCAGAGCATCCTTGCCGGCCCCGATCTTAGTAAGGCTGTCGACCGGCATGCTCTGGTGCTCCACCCACCTCACTTGAACGCCCAGCCCGTCTATCTTTTCCCTGGCGATTGCAACGTCCAGTGCCGTGAACTTGTCTTGGGTTTGAGCGCCTTCCTTCATGAGGTTGTCGTAGAGACTCTTAGCGTCTACCACCGCCAAAGAGTCCTTGAGCTTCGGGTCCGCGTCCGTCTTCTGCAAAACGACGTCCGCTTGAGCCTGCACTCCTGCTCGGAACTTTTCTAGGGAGAACTCTTCGTTCGTCATCTCGGCATAGATCGCCTTGGCCCACATGAGCTCCCCTAGTCCCTTCAGCAGGGACTGTGTCTCTGCCGCCAAGGTGGAGCCCACTTTGCGCCTAAGCTTGGCCGACTTCCACCAGATCAAAGAGCAGGCTGCTCTCTTGCCCGCCAACAGGGCACGATCAAAGGCCACCACAGCCAGTGCCCCTTGCGAAGAACCATCTGCATGGTTGGCCCAGGAGGCGTCGGTGATAGCGCCCCACCCGAGCTGCTCTGGCGGAATCGGGTAAAAGCACAAAGCCAGGTCTCGTAGCTTCTTAGCGTCCTCGACGGCCTTGTTAAGTTCAACCAGGTCCTTGACTTTCAAAGACCCCATCCTTGAAGCCAGCATGCTTGTGGCCCCAGCCACGTCTGGGCGGCCTTCTTTCGCCAACCAAGCCATAGAGCCCAAAAGTCCGCGGGCCTTCTGCTTCTCCTCCTCCGTGACCGGGTCTTCTGGCTTGCTCTTCCGGCCTCGCTCCAGGCTTAGAGGTGCTAGCCGCTCCTCCACGAACTTCGCCATGTCCACCTTCAGTACAAAGTCGGGTCCTTGCTGAACCCTGCGCCCGTTGAACATGGTGCCGTCCGGTAGGTCTTGCAGGGCCTTCCACTTCCCGAACTTGAATCGGGTACGCAGCTGCTGCATTTTTAGGTCGTGGTCTTGGTGGCCAAAGGACAGGATGTCGTCGACCTCTATCACCAGCACCCCTTCGAGGCCTCCGGCCTGGAACAACAGAAATATCGTAGGATCCAGCCGGGATTGCTTATACCCCAGGTCGTTGACCACGAAGTCCTTTAGCGTGGCCCTCCAGTGCCGTGGCCCGTCCACCAGGCCGTAGATGCCCTTCACGATTTCCAGCAACTGGTCCTCGTGCGCTCCCGGCGGGCCACCGTTCCTGGGAATTCTCACGAACAGCCGGCCGCCGGCCCGAATCAAAGGAGCCGATTGGGTGAATGCGGCCTTGAGGTCGCCGCAACTGGCCGGCATTCGAAGGGAGGTCGCCGTCTGCAAAAGGACCTGCAAGTTCTGCGTGCAGACGGTCGGCGCATAGACCTCGATATCTGCCGAGTCTGGGTCTTGGTCTCCGCGCACGACCCAGCGCGACTTGAGCGTGGCCTCCTCCCCAAGCTGCTCTCCCGGTTTTCTTCGTCGCACAATGCGGCTGTCGATGACGCGGTTCAGCTTGTTGTCCTTCTTCAGCTGCGCCCATATCTCGCGGCTCTCCTGCAAAGAGCGAAGCACAACCGCCCCAGAGCCCAAAACCTTCTCCCACTCTTCGGCGTCGGCCTTGCGCCAACTGGGCCACTCCTCTTCGGAGATGTCCCGCTCCTTGACTTCGTCCGAAGCCGTCTTCTTGGCCGCGTACACTTCAAAGCCGCTGTCGGTGAGGAAGAGCTCTGCTGCGGCGTGGTCCAGGGCGCCGTCCTCGACCATGGCCCGTGCCTCTTTAAGCCCCTTTCTTGTCAAGAAGAAGTCCGTGTAGCCGCGCCACTTGCCTGGCGCCCGCTTACTGGGCCTTAGGTCCCGCCAGTGGTCGGCAGCCTCGTCTAGGTCGCCGTTCTTGAACTTCCGGTGCTGGACCCTCTCAGAGCTGAGCAGGGCAACGCTGATTGGAACCTTTGCGGCCTCCCACGGCGAGAAAGGAGCGCTGCGCCACTTAACGTGGTGCCGCCGAAGCCGACCATCACCAAGCATCAGCTCCCAATGGTCGCGGTGTGGCTTTTGTTCCCTGTGGCCTCGCGCACCCTCTGCCGTCTCGGTAGCCAGGTCGGTCTCCTCGAAGAAGTCCTCCTCCTCGTCGGGCCTTTGGTAGGGACCCGTTGCTTGCGTTCTTGCCGAAGAAGAGGTAGGTCTCACTGGTTCATACCTGGGAGTCCGGTTCTCAGGGTTCGCGTGCCCATCAAGTCTTGCCGCTCTCCTGGCTGCCTCCGCCGCCTGGGTCACTCTCTCCTCCCTGCTCGGT